ATTCAATTAAAATTATTATTTTATTTTAAATTTTTTTAATGACAGGACAAAATACTTATTTTTTAGCAATTGAATTTCAAACTAAAATCCAAATCAAAGCCGCAATTTATGTGTAATTTATGTATGACGAGGAGACCTAACCATCTTTGACAAGTGCAATTGCTATATTCAGTGACAATCATATTTGATACGCTATTTCACTGTCAATGGTGAAAAAGGCACTGGAATCATTCTCATCATTTGGACTATTATATATTTGCTGATAACATGTATCATATCTAAAACTTCATAAACACATCATCAGTATAGAACAAATCAATAATTGCAAGACAAACACTATTTCATTAATTAATTAATCATATTACTATTGATTCAAGTCACAACAACCATACAAAACTGCCAAAATAACTGGTTGAACCGTCTAGGGGAGGTTATAACATGATTGAGTGTTTCAGGGTATTACATTACATTGCTTAAAAGATATAACGGTTTCATACAAATATGGACTCTTTTGCGGTTCCTTTTACTTGTTCCAAAAGCAACACTCCCTCTCTCTTTCTCTTTCCCTATCTGTCTTCGTTTTAGTCTTTTTCCCATTACTACTTTCCTTTACTCCCACTACTTCACGTTTTTCCAATCTTTTTCTTCTTGTATATAACTAACTAATTTCATTCAATTAAGACAAACAAAACACCAACATTTTTTTTTTATAATTCTCCTTCTAACTTCTCTTTGGAACAATGCTTTCTTTTACATGGCAAAGAAGTATTGCCTTTTTTAATCTGTTTCTTGCAGTACTTGTTGCAAATTCCACCTTTTGCTTTTCTGCCAAGGTATGGAATTTCACAAAGTATATATTTTTTCCTTTTGGGTTATCTTAAATGCAAATTATGGAATCTGAATTCAATGGAACTGACAGGTTTATGTCGTCTACATGGGAAGCAAGAGTAATGATCAAGACCCAGATAGTATTCTGAAGCAGAATCATCAAATGCTTGCAGAAGTTAATAGGGGAAGGTAAGAATTAATGCTTGCAGTTGTAGCTTTAATCATTTGGAATATGAATATTCCTTTTTCTATGTCATTTCAGATATGTGATTTTACCTTTTTTATGTAACAGTATTGAACAAGCACAAGCTTCACATATTTATAGCTACAAACATGGTTTCAAAGGCTTTGCAGCAAAGCTGACAGAAGAACAGGCTTACCAGATTTCAAGTCAGTGAAATTTTTCTCTTCCTTAAGCTTCAATGTTTAAAGGATCCTATCATTTTAATCATTTATTTAGTTCTTTGGTTTGAATTTTTCACCAGAAATGGAAGGAGTGGTCTCGGTGTTCCCGAATTCGAAAAGAATGTTGCACACTACTCATTCATGGGATTTCATGGGACTTTTGGATGATGAAACCATGGAGAATATGGGGTACTCCAACAAAAACCAAGCAAATGTTATTGTTGGTATCATTGATACAGGTGAGAAGTCTTACTTTTACAGTAAGGTGGTAGGTACCTTTTTGATAGCTTCTATGTAACTATCCCTTCATTCTCACGTACTTGCACCTTTTCTTAGAAGTCTTATGAAAACATTTATTAGTCGGTTTTCACAAGTACTTGCACACGTTATTTATTTCTTTTGAAGCAGAAAATGGATATATTTATCACTTTGCTTTTATGAATAGCAGTAAAAGAAAAGTATGATTAACAGGTTTTAGTCATAATCAGTTACCATTATTTGCACAGGAATTTGGCCAGAATCCCCGAGCTTTAGAGACACCGACATGCCACCAGTGCCACGCAGATGGAAAGGCCGTTGTCAAATAGGAGAAGCATTCAATGCTTCATCTTGTAACAGGTTCTGATTGAATCACATGATCGTCACTTTATGATTTGTTTAACTTCATATGCATTATTAGGTCCAAGTTGGACCATCTTCATTGGTTAATATTTGATGGTAAACTTCAGGAAAGTGATAGGAGCAAGATACTATATGAGTGGATATGAAGCAGAAGAAGGGTCAGACAAAAAAGTCTCTTTCAGATCTGCAAGAGACAGCGCCGGTCATGGGAGCCATACAGCTTCCACAGCAGCAGGACGATACGTGGAAGATATGAACTATAAGGGTTTGGCAGCAGGAAAAGCCAGGGGAGGTGCACCTATGGCTAGAATTGCTGTTTACAAAACATGTTGGAATTCAGGTTGCTATGATGTGGACTTGTTAGCTGCCTTTGATGATGCCATAAGAGATGGTGTTCACATTATATCACTATCTCTTGGTCCACAATCTCCTCAAGGTGACTATTTCAACGATGCAATATCGGTGGCGTCTTTCCATGCTGCTAGACATGGAGTTCTTGTAGTAGCATCAGCTGGAAATGAAGGAACTCCTGGCTCTGCAACAAACCTTGCACCATGGATCATCACTGTTGCTGCTGGCTCAACAGATAGAGATTTCACCTCTGATATCATATTAGGAAATGGTGTTAACATCAAGGTAAATCTGATTTCTTTTTGTTGCACTTATCACATCTGTTTTCTTTTGAACCATGGTTGTTGTTCTAACAGTTCTCTACCCACCTTAGGGTGACAGTCTCAGTCTATTGGAAATGAATGCCTCCAGAAGAACAATTCCTGCATCTGAAGCCTTTGCAGGATATTTTACTCCTTATCAATCCAGGTGAAGCACAAGGTACTTCAAATCTAGAGTTGCCTAAATATCAATGCACATGGATGGCTTTTAAAGTTAATGGTTGTCCTCTTTTCTACATTTCTGCAGTTACTGTTTGGATAGCTCATTAAACAAGACCAAGACCAAAGGGAAGGTTCTGGTGTGTAGACACGACGACGGTTCAATAGCGTCAAAATTGGAAAAAAGTAGGGTAGTGAAAGAGGCAGGTGGAGTTGGGATGATACTTATTGATGAAACAGACCAAGAAGTTGCCATCCCATTTGTCATACCTTCGGCTATTGTTCGAGCGAAAACAGGAGAACAGATTCTATCATATATCAATAGCACAAGGTTAGTGGTTTTATATTTGATTAAATAGACACATTTTGATATCTTCTATCTCCATTCTCTAACCATGTATAATATAATGGTGAACAGAATGCCTCTGTCTAGGATTTCCAGGGCCAAGACAGTAGTAGGAGTTCAACCTGCACCGCGTGCAGCAGCATTTTCTTCCAAAGGCCCTAATTCCTTAACCCCTGAAATTTTGAAGGTTATATTGTCATTTACATACTATTAAGTCATAAAATGCCTTATTTTTTCTCAAATTACCCTTGATGATTATTTGTTGTACTACTATGTAGCCCGATGTTTTGGCTCCCGGGTTAAACATCCTGGCAGCATGGTCTCCAGCAGCAGCTGGAAACATGAAGTTCAATATTCTATCAGGAACCTCTATGTCTTGTCCTCATGTAACTGGAATTGCAGCCTTAATCAAAGCTGCACATCCTTCATGGTCTCCGTCTGCTATCAAATCTGCCATCATGACTACCGGTAATACATAGCTATACATAATACATATAATTATCTAGTTCTTAAATTACTCAATGTGGCTTGTTGAGATTCTTCTTAATCAAACATTAAAACAAATCTTCCGACTACATTAAATTTGGTCTTCCATTTAATGCCTCAAAAATCTAGATACTCGGAGGAGCACTAATGAAAGTTAATATCATTAACCTTACAGTGCACAAGACTCACTAGTCTCTATCGATACATAAGGAACTAATCATAAATTTAATATGCAGCAACAATTGTGGATAAGCAAAACAAACCAATTCGAGCGGATCCTGATAGAAGAATGGCTGATGCATTTGATTATGGATCAGGGTTTGTGAACCCTGCAAGAGTTCTGGATCCCGGTCTTGTGTATGATTCACAGCCAGAAGATTTTGTTGCATTCCTGTGCTCAATTGGTTATGATGCAAAGTCACTCCACCTTGTTACAAGAGACAACAGCACATGCGCTGGGGCATTCAAAACACCATCTGACCTGAACTATCCATCTATTACAGTTCCTAATCTTGAAGACAGCTTTTCAGTGACTCGTGTTGTGACTAATGTTGGAAAAGCAAGAAGTACCTATGAAGCTGAAGTGCTGTCTCCGGACGGAGTTAATGTTACTGTTGTGCCAAGTTGGTTAGTATTCACAAGACCAGGACAGAAAATCAAGTTCACTGTGAATTTCCAAGTGATTGCTCCCTTAAAGGGCTATGCATTTGGGTTCTTAACATGGAGTAACAGAATATCAAAGGTCACCAGTCCTTTAGTTGTAAAAGTTGCAGCACCATTCCTTGGGTCGGTCAGATAACAACATTTGTAAATATGTACATATTAGCTTAGGTGCTGTGAGATTCCATTCGTCGCTATAAGAACAAGCAGTCATGTCATATATCTTTATCCATTCAGCATACTTTATCACTATTTGTCAGTTATTAAAACAGAGAATGTTATGTAGTATTATTGTAGGTTAGTCAGTAATAGAAATGTATTCTTCTTGAGTATTGGAGCTGAGAAGTTAAAATAGTTTGGTCATTATTGTAATATTTTACCCATTAAATATAAGAAATCCTTTACAACTTTTTTGGGTTCCAAATATAATAAAAAGTTACCACATTTTAAGATGCATTAATCGCTATGAATGTATCAATTATATGTCGGCAAATCCCCAGGTTCATTGTCCAATGACAGCATGTTGATGTTTTCTAAAAACGGTATATCACAATTCATAGTAAACTTAGGAATCCATATGGTAAACAAGAAATATAAACAATTTACTATAACTAAGATAAACAGTGTGATGTATTCAAACTGCATTTTAGACATTAGTGAGCTTCAGAATTTCACTTCTAAAATCTCTACAGATGATTTTAATCCATCAAATTTCTAAAGCCCCGCACAAAAGGAGGCAAACATTGACTTCAATATATGCATTACATATATAACAGCATGTAGGTATCACAATCAGAAGACAAAGTGATAGCTAACTGCAATCACTACGAGTGAATCTTTGTTGGACTAACAAGACCTTCCATTACAACCAGTTGATCCAGCAATGCAATCTTCTCCTCCTCTAGGGTCTTCACCTGATCTTCAGCCTCTTTTAGCTCTTTACCTAACGCAAACCCATCATCCTCCAGCTGCAAATACTTCCGCCTCAATTGACGGTACTCACTTCCACCCACTGAGGAGTCGGGCAACGAATCTGAATTGGAACCTTCTGGTTTCTGAAAAGACGGCGAGACTTCAGCCATTATAGGTCTTTTGGAACCCTTAGGTCTCGATTTCAATGGCAGAGGAGCATTTCCCTCTCCAATAACAACATTCCCTTGCACCTGAAGTAAGGATGCCTTTTGGGTTGGGTTTTTCTTCTTCTTTGGTTTAATACTCAAGGTATTCTCCGACAAAGGAATCCTTGGATCTTGCATTTCTCACCAATAGTCACTGCAAGATAAAGAAAAACAATAAGTTAACAACACACATTCTTCAGTAAAAACAGAAACAAAAACGGTTTTTGAAACAATCACTTTGCAATTCATATACTCATAAAAAACCAAACTTTGTGATCGTGAAAATAATTAACGTATCAAACAAAACAACCCATTTAATCTCGAACACAAATATGTTATAATCTTCTAAAGTCTACGATAATCTAAGTGAAAAAAACAAAAATATTACCGAAAACGAAATTGAAAAACCCTTGTTTGTGAAACGGAAAATTGAGAGAGGGGAATAGAAACAAACCTTGAGAAAGTGACAGAGGTGTTTGCAATTTAAAAAGATGAAGATGAGTGAGATGTGAAAGAGAAAGGAAATTAGGGTTGGTTGCAGAGAAAGTGAGTTGTTTTGTTTGTATTGGTTACCGGTAATTGGCGGGTCCAACCCATTTAGCTAGTTACTTTAAGTGGGATGGAGTTAACTTTTAAATAAAAATATATTACGAGTTTTTAAAGTTATTTTTATGGGTTAAATATATTTTTGATATTTATAAATATTTTAAATTTTATTTTAATTTCCATTAAAAAATAATATATTTTGGTATTTACAAAGTTTTTGTTTATAAATTTTAATTTTTATTATTTTCTAAAATTTTTGAAAACGGTTTAATTATTTATAAATTTTTAATTTTTTAATAATTTTTTTATAAGTGTTAGAATATTATAAAATATTTAATTAGTAAATTTTAGTTTTTTTAAATGGAAAGAATTAAATATGAATTTTTTGAATTTCAAAAGATATTGATAAAAGTAATGAAAATTTCGACTTAAAAATAAAATTTTGAGTTTCCCTTTTTTCAAAAAAAATTTTATAACGTTCTAAACATGTTTACACAATAATCATTCAAAAATTTATATTAGTTTAACAACAGAGAATAAAACTACGTGCATAATAATTTTGTAAGGACTAAAATATGTCAGATTTTTTATAAGAACAAAAAACAAAAATTGATAATTTATAGCGATCAAAAATATATTTAACCCTTATTTTATTATAACAAAGTTATCCTTTAATTTTTTTTTTGCTACAAGTGAGTTATTTAAATTAACTAGCGTGTGTACCATTAACCTTTTTTAGTATCCAAAAAAATATAAAGTCAGATCCTAATTCAATAAAAAAAACAATTAAAAAATTAAGTTGTTAAAAAAAATTAAAGAACCAGCTTATTACAATAAATAACTTAAAAAACCCCTAGAGTTATTATGCCAAAATTTTAACTAAGGTAAAATAATCCAGGGCTGACACGAATTTTATTAAAATATACATTAATTTATTTTAAATAATTAACAAAATTGTAGTTTTGATAATAATTTAATAAATAAATATATTTTCTCAATATTAGGGGGAGAGAATAAGCCGCTAAAAGCGTGAACCAGAAGTTCAAATGAACAATTTGAAATAAAATATTATTATATTACTTTGATTCTCAAAGTTCAAAACACAATTCATTTGTAAAGTTTATGAAACAAATTGCCAGCTGCTAATACTCCACTCAAAGTAGATTTTCCTATTGGACAATCAAATATTGCAAATGAGTTATAGCCGCACCTGAAGCGTGGTAGGAAAGTCGGCTCCAATGTTAAAAGTCCTATACCAAGAAAATAAACTAAAGTTAAAGATGACCCAAGTGAGGATATGAAAATTCCAAGAGAGCGTTGACATGATTTATTTTTCTATTCCAGAAGAACTAATCAAGTACTTGAAATATGAAATAAAGAGATCTCGATAAATTATGTCATGAATGAAATGGAATGGGACCGAAATTGAGATAACCAAAATAAAATCAATATTGACAATGTCTTTGTATATAATATAGTGCTAAAAGTGATCAATGATAACAAGGATTATGAGTCAAAGTTTATTAAAGACTGTAAACAAAGTGAGAATTGAACAAAATGAATATATTCAATTGAACAAGAATTAAACTCACTTTATCAGTGACTCGGTTTTGGACTTGTAGTCCGAACACCTCAAGGTGTGAAACTAATGAGATATAAATGAGTTTTTGTGAGAAAATAAATAAGAATGATACAAAGATTGATTTATTGTTCAATGATTTTCACAAAGACCTAAGATTTATTTTGTTGAAACATATCCACATATAGTGGATGCAATTCAATTTTTTATATTTAATTATCCTTGTAGCACATGAAAGACTTAATTTGAATATGGTGGACATGTGTGATACGGTGGGAGAACTGACTTGGGTATTTTGCGTTTTATCGCAATTGTTGCGGATAGCAAGAGTCGCCACCGACTTTTCTTTTATCCAATAAAGAAAAGGGTGAAAAGAACAGGAAAGACCTTTTGAAAAATTTCTTGAGTTCGAGAGGAGGGGTAGGTTATGAAAAGGGAAGGTGTTAGCACCCTTTTCATCCGTAGTTATCTACGGACTCTTAATTGCTAGCTCATTTTGAAATGCTTTGTGTTTGTGTATGTTTGAAAATATTTTGAAAACGCCTAAGTTTGACAAACTTTACAATAATTCTCGTATCGTTGAGAATGTATACAAAGTGTTGGTTTTGAAAATATTTGTTAAAAAAGAGTGTTTTGAAAGATGTTTGAAAATGCCAATGTGAGATAATTTTGCAATGATTCTCGTATCATTGAGAATGTATACAAAATATTTGTTTTGAAAAGTATTTTGAAAGTGTGAGGTGTAAATGGTTTTGTTTGTGAGCAAGCAATTACGAGCAATCTACCTACTCAAAAAGTCTTTGTTTTTTTTCTCCTCCTTTAGATAGTGCTTGTCTACCATTAGTGGGTAGAGAGCCATATCATTGGATGCGAGGGATGGGCGTGGGTCATTGTACAGTCATAGAAGACAACTTATAAGATGTTTTAGAAATTTGTCGTAAGGGACTGAAATCATTTACCGAAGGCAACATTAAAGGGTCATTGAGGGACTACGATCTTTTTATCGAGGGTTTTTGCTAAAATATCTCACATTCGAGGGACATGACTGTTTTTTATCCGAGGCAACACGTGAGGTTATCCTAGAGGTATAAGTGTGTAAAGTGTGTTTGATTCAATTATTTTATCTTGAATTAGTATTGTCTAATGTTGATTTTAAGATTTTGTCATGCAAACCCTAATTACTAACAATAATAAAGAAAATGATAAATTGCGGAATTTAAATGTTCTATGCTATTACAACACTTTGGGAATGGGGGGTACAGTTTTGTGAATGAGGGGAGAAAAACAATAAAGCCCTAATTACTATTACAAACCATTGAATATGAATTATAATAATAATTATGCACAAAATGTAAAATTAAAGCAATAAATTATTTTCTAGGGTTTTTTGATAGAAAGGTTTAGAGATTAACCTAATTAAACTAATTAACTTTAATTACAAAAGGAGTTAACTAATTATTTAATCAAAACCTAAAAATCTAAATTAATTGAAATAGAAAATAAAACCTAAATATAAATATAAATTTTTTAGAAAATAATTTTTGTTAATGTTAATTAGAAAAAATATTCTACCATGTAAAAGAAATAATAAAATTTAATTTAACAAAAATAAAATAAAATACTTAAATTAAATTATTTATTAAAATAGTTAAGAAAATGTATTTTTGGTGGTTTTTGATTTAGATAAAATAAATATATAAATGAAAATAAATAAAATATAAAAGAAATGGAAATAATTGGGCTGGGGGTTGAAAAGTGAAATGGGAGGTTAAAAGTTAGTAAGAAACATTAGGCCCAAAAAGGAATTTGTTTGGAGTCAGAAAAAATGAAAAAAAATATTTAAAAAAAAGATAAATGGGCTAGCGTTTGAATCAGTAAAGTGGGAGGTGATGGAAAGGAAATCTGCTTGGCCCAAGGTTGGAGGCCCAACGCTGCAAAACAACAATAATAAGGCAAAATAATATGAAAAAAATGCAAAAGGGTACCACTGGGACTCGACCCCATGTCCCTATGGATCAATGTCTTAGCGCGCGATTCCCTGCCACTGGGGTGGCTGTTTCATCCGGTAATAATACAACTTGCACTAAATTTAAAATAAACTCAGTTCTGACTGCACTTCATCTTCTTCCTCGCGCCACCATTTTTGAATCTCTGAACTTGCTCATTTCTCAATCATTTGTAAAAATGTAAACATGAAAGTTGCCCCTAATTTTGTCACAATTTCAAATATGTAAATAACGTGAACTAACACTCAAAGATGAGCACAAATTTTGCTTTGTACCAAATTCTGACCTAATTTTTCTGTAACTTCAAACTTAAAATTCGCACCACTCAGGCAATATAAATGAAATTTAAGCACATGGTTAGCTTCAGGGAAATGATGTCTACATTTTATCTTTACAAAATAACTATTAATGATGCTTGTATGAGAAGTTCAAAATTGAGAAAACTTACCTCAAAACTGGAAATCGTGTTTTGAGTTTGAGCACTCCTGGATGTGTTGTGATGATCTGAATAGTTTCAGTGGACTCCTAGGAAGCTAATGCAAAGTTTACTTTATGCTGAGAGTGCTTGAATATTTCTTGAGAAGTCAATGTGCATAAATCTGTTTTTGGAAATGGAGGATGGTGATGGAGGTGTTACAGTTGTGTAACAGGGTCCTGGATAGATTCTAAATGATGTATGGAAGCTTTGTGATTGATTTTGAGTGCGAACGCACAAGTGAAATGTGAGTTTGGGATTCAAGGTCAGAAATGTCACAAAAATGGAGTTTGAGAGAAATTCTAAGTTTGGGATTGTTTGAGGGAGTTTCAAGGATTATGAATTCGTGTTTGGCTTTCAAAATAGTGCCTCTATTTATAGGCAAGAGATTTGAGGGCTTGAAGTGATCATATTCACAAGATCACGTGTTATGGTTTTTTGACTTTTTTTTGAAGCAATCTTGACAAATATTGTCCCAAGGTGAAGTACAAAGAAATCTAGAGTAGTTAGAGGCTTTAAACATGCTTATCTG